GTCTGCCCTGCCTGCCTGCAGAGCCACATTCCTGCCATCAGTGCCTCTCACAGTGGACTCAGACGACCTGATTTTCTCTAAACAAGCCATGCTTATTCCTGCCTCTGTTCCCTTGCTTGTGAAAATGTTTTTCTGGAATGTCTTCTCCAAATTAGTCTCTACTACAAATTTCCACACATCCTTCAAGGTCCTGGGTCAACTGCCATCTTCTCTGTAAGGTAAAATGTAAGCACATTTTTCTGTGATTGAACTATACTTTGTGTATAATGCCATTATACCTGCCGTTATAGTATATTCTAAATATTCACCTACATTTTTGGATCATAATGAGTGCAAGCACTCTTTAAAGATACGGACTTTGTCCTTTTGTCTTCGTACCTTTGATGCCTACCACAGAGTAGAGCTTAATTGGTAATGCTGAATGGGAATATTTTGAATAATTGCATTTTCATAAATAAGTCTTCCAAGAGACTAATTGCTAGGAAGAGTTAATACACTTTCAGGCATCTTTAATATAGAAAAAACTTCAGGCACTGGAGAGCTTAGAGGAGAAGCACAGTGATTCATGACCCTTAGAGTATAAGTGAATTGTCCCTCCATTGATCACCTCAGGCCCAGCTTTGTTTACAATACAGTAACCATTCTGAATGATTTGAAAGATGAGATTGCTTTGCTTGCATTTAGGTTTGTAAAACCTTGTATTTCTTCTGTTGTTTTGCATTTCTGAACCTGGGTAGGTACACAAATGAATTAGGGGTGGTAACAAAGAACACCGTTGACAGACTGCGGCAATGTGCTGTTGGCACAGTGTACCTTTTAGTTTATCTGAATGATATAAATCAAAGAATGGTCAGTTTGTGCCATTCAGATAAGGTTTAAAAATAGTTTCTCAATTAAGATGCAGAATGGAGCTGAGATTTCTTTTTTTTGAAATGGCTTTTGGATGTTAATTTTAATCTTTCTATGCTTATGTATTTCAGTGTTTCACTTAGCCATTTCTATCATACTTTTAGAGGACAGGTATATTCTTCCAGATTAATTATGTTTTTTCAGTTTATAGGCAGCCAGCTTTCGAGCAGTTCTTCAGCCTATCTTAGAGAACAGTGTGTAAAGCCATTTTTTAAGGCAGAGTGACTGCATGTGTGCATAAATCTTGCCGTTAATTGACCTCAATGAAGCATACACTTTTCACATAAAGAGTACTTTGATTTTATGGCCCTATGTCTGTACTAAGAATTTCTATTATGAGTCACTTTCTGTGATTTTTCTTGTTAAGTGGGAGGGCAGTGATTTAAGACTAGCTGTTTTTTAAATTTATTTTTCACTATTAATATGCATTAAATTAAGTTGACTATATGGAACAGAACATAGAGAGACATCACCCTTTGGAAATCTCTATTTTCTGACAGCTTCATCTAACCAGAATGGCTGAAAACTAAGAAGAATAAAAAATAACTAGAGAATTCAAACTCTTTCTTCTTGCTGTAAGGCTTCTGAATTTTAGTGTATTTATTTTATTTCTTCTTCCCTTTCTTCTCCCTTCCTTTCCTTCCTTCCTTCCTTTCTTCCTTCCTTCCTTCCTTCCTTCCTTCCTTCCTTCCTTCCTTCCTTCCTTCCTTCCTTCCTTCCCTCTTTCTCTCTTTCTTATTTCTACTTAGTATAAATTTGATTTGAGGTTTCTAACCCCATAGTATATTAGAGGTAGTGAATAAACATGGGAAAAGGAACAGAAATGACTGCTACCTAATATTAAACAATATTAAACAAAGTTAAAAGAATTTATACACTTTGTGTCAAGTCAAAGATTACCCCCACTCAGAAGACCTAGATTATGATCTGCCCTGTGTGGTTTCAGGGTTTGCAGTGATGCTCCTGAGGATGTCATTAACCAACAGGTATTTACACTATGCTAGGTAATATGGACACAGGAAAGATAGATTATTTTTCTTAAAAGTAATTACAATCCAGCAAGAGCTTCAGACAAACAAGCGTTCTTAATGAAGTAGGATCAGTGCTTTGGAAAGGAAAGTACAAAGTATGTTGAACATAGATCAAGGGCTCCTACCCCAAACTAGAAGAGCCAGGGAGAGCTTCTCAATGGAAGGGTCTTAAACTAGTGAAAATAAGCATGTCATGTATTTTAGAAATATTTCTTATAAAAATGCTTAAAATGGAAAAGTGTATTGCTACTAAATGAAAATGTTGTTATATCTCTAAAAAAAAATGGCTAAACAAACTGAGTTATATTCTTGTAGATCCAAATAACCAAATTCTACTCTCCATATATAATCTTTATTTGGGGAATTCAGATGCTTATTTTATTTTATATAGTTTTCTATGTCTATGTGATACCAAGGCTTCACTATCTTTAATAGAAAGCCAAGAGTACACAGAGATAAAATTCAAATTATAAAACTCACTTTCATATAGTAAAAAGAGACTGCACCCATATGTTAAATGGTAGCAAGAGAAATGAAAATTAGACCTCACCTGTTTTGATATATTTTAATTTTATTTTCTATCCCTAACTATGTCTGGGTAATTTGGCCATGGTTATTGACATGCTACATAATCTTTGGAAAAGGTAAATATATGCTCTATCTATGTGCCTTCAGATCACAGAAACCAGAGCTATATGCATCTGTTTCTTAGCTGGCATGCTATCTTATGTTTCTAACCAAAATTTAGATTTTAATTTCTGGAAATCTTTATTCTAGCAATATGTGAAAATAGACTTGGCAGGGAATTCAGTAGATTAAATGTAAAAACAATTGTCACATTCAAAAAACAACTGAATAAGAGTTCTTGCTTTGGTTAAAGTGGCTAAATGAGTTTGGAGATGTTGAGACAACATTCTTATATAATGGTAGAGGAAAAGATTATCTTAATTGCAGCATATATGGTGATAAGCAGCTTCTGTAATGTACAATCTAGAGCAAATGGAAGGATTAACATCTCTCTCATTCCCCAAAGGATGTGGAAATACTGAATGTAGCCACTGAAAACAAGATAAACCCTCCCATTATGGGCCAATATAGGCATTATTCAGAGAGACAACTGCTTGTGATCAATGTTATTATTCCTTTAACAAATATTTATTGTGCACCTACTATGTTCCAGGCACTGTTCTACAAGTTTCAGATATATCCATGAAGAAACATAAAAAAAGATGCTTATCTTCAAGGTGTTTGTATTCTTGTAGAAGTAAACAGTTAATAAATAGTAAACATTATAAATCCATATACTGGCTAGCATGTTGGAAGATGATCAGTGCAACAGAAGAAGGAAAAATCCAGAATAAAGTAAAGACATCCAGAAGGAAATTTTAAGTAGGGACAGCATAAAAGACTTCATGCTGATATTTGAGCTAACACTGTATTATCAGTCTAGGCCAAATTGGGAGAGAGAAACCATATAGTAATTTGAACATGGAATGTTTACTATAAAGAATCATTAACCATAATGGGATTGGAATAACAGGAAATCAGCTAGTAAAAAGTAAAGCAAGCTGCAAAGAACATAGGAATGGAAGATAAAAAAAAACAGCCACTACTGTCTAGGGTTGACATAGAGTAGCCTCCAACTCAGGGCCGAGGTCCAGGAGTTTCTCACCAGAGACATTCCACTACGTGATGGCACAAGGTCAGCAGACAGCTGATGGCTTTTTGGTGTTTGCAGAGCTAAATGCCAGAGAAGTTGCTTGCACTGAAGGAGCTTGGCTAGTGAGATACTGGAACCAGGAAGCAAAACTCTTTTCTGCTTCAATGTCTGTCTAGTGTCTCCTACTGACAAAGCTTAGCATTGGACCTGCTAGCCCAGGAGAGAATATTTAAAGGGCCTAGATGCCTTGTATAAGGAGGAAAAGAAGATAGAATTGGAACTGAAATGCAATCAATTGATAATGTGAATAGACAGTAAGGAGGTACAGGATGACTTATGTGGATATCTTGAAGTAGAGAGTTCCAAGTGGAAAAAACAGTTGCTGCAGAAGCCCAAAGGCAGGAGGATAGGATAGTAAGGATAGCATAGTAAGGATAGCAAGGTCAGTATTGGGGGAGCATTTTGGATGAAAAAGACAAGACCAGGAAATCAGATATGAGAGGAAAAAAGTGAGACCCTGTAGCTTCCTTGTAGGCCATCCTAGGACCTTGGGATTTACTCCAAGGGAACCATTGTAAGGGTTTGAGTAGAACAGTGGTATGATCTATTGTGGTGCCTGCTGAGGGCAGACTGGGTTAGGGGTCAGATATAGAATCAGAAAGACCAGTCAGGAGGCTACTGCAGAAATACAGGGGAGAGATGATGGTTGCTTAGACCAAGGTAGGGGCAGTGGAATTGGTAATAATTAGTGAGAAAAGTCCTTCCCTTTCTGTTGAAGCAGTTACTCATAATATCACCTCCATTCCTTCCTTACTGGGGATAGATATATAGAGAGATACAGATATAGATATAGATGTATGTGGGATACATATGTCTTATCTGTAAAATCTTTTCTGTAAGAAAAGGATCCTAGAACTCCATATAGATTAAGACTCATTAAATGTTTGCTGTTGATTACATTTACATTTTTTCTTGCAACCTGAAAGATTGTAAGCCACCAATAAGTTTCAATAAGAGATACAAAGATACTTAAATTATAAATGTAGCAACCAGAGTTATTTCATCAAATAAATAAATGCAAAGGGTTGTATTTAACTTTCATATTTCTCAAGCACAAATCTCAAGCACAAGTCTGGGATAAAGGCCAGCCTTCAGATGAGCTCCCAAGCCCTCTCCAGCTGCTGCTGAAAGGCCAGGCCTTCCCTTCACCTGCTCTTCCAAGGCTCTCCCACAAGACAAGGAGCACAGAGTTCTGAGCCTATGATGTTCCTTCTTCCTGCCCCTTGCCATTACTCACAGCATCACCTGTATGAAATGCTGGTCTACTTCCCCCCTGGCCTTTGGGAAATCCCTTCCTCCTTCACATTGCTGCCTCAAAACTTCCTGAAGTGAAGACTTACCTATCTCCTCCCATGAATGTATTTTTCTGAAACTGAACATTCTTTTCTCTGTACACCCTTCCATAGTGTGACACCAGTCTTGGCATTGCTGACATTTCTGCCTGGTCATCTTCTTTAAGCTGTGTATTTTGAAAGGTTTTCCTCCTCTTTATATCTCCGCTAAATTTCCTGCAACAAGTTATGTTATATATATATTGAAATTAACCTTTATTTAATAGAAATAAAGCTGCAAGAATTAATATTAAATCTACTAATCAGAGATAAGTTAGCTAATAGTAGTTAATTCTTGCTAACTACTTTTCACCATTATATACCAACTAACGTCTGTTACCAGTAATTGCTTACTCTGCTGGAGTATTTATTGAAGTAGAGAAAAATGCTTTGCAATATCCAATATTATTTATGGCATTTCCCACCCCTAAAGGCACAATGAAAGCCACATTTTCTTAATAGTTTTAAAATTTGAAGAATAATTATTTTCTCTTAGCTCTTAGCATGCCCAGAGAGCATTATCCTGGATATGCCAAACTCTTTCTGGACCTTAATTTTCTAGCACTTCCTGAATGAAACATGATATGTAAAATACACATATACTTTTATTAATACTCAAGTTGTCACCAAATGTAAGTACTTAAAATAAAAATGTCTGAGTATTAAGCAATGTACCCTACTATTCAATTACATAATGTTCATGTGTCTCCGGAGAGTAGGAGGTTTACTGGAGATGTCAAGTTTCCTGAAACTCTAAAATTATAGTAGATGGGAGCAAAACAAGAATGCAGAAAGAAGTAAGTGAGATGGGTTTTATGGCCATTTTCTGTAGAAACATTAGGGGAAAGTAACTTTAAGACATCTGATAAGGAAGGAAATAAACTAGTGCTACAACAAGAATGTACAACTTGAAAAGAAATGCTTCTACATTGGAAAATGCTTCTGAAAACATTTATTTCAAACCTGAAAACTCCTTATCCTAAAAGGTAATTTTGAACTAACTTGTTTGGTTACCTTGAAGCAAATAGCCAAAAGAGGTACTGAATGGTTTCTGTAATGAGAACAAAATTTCTGAGAAATTAGCTATTTGAAATAGTTTTTTCTACTTCCGAGAATAAGACTTAAATCCTATCTGCTTGTTCATAGACATACTTTATCTTGTGTGTACTATAACATTTTTGAGTTGTATTGTAACTATTAATCTGCATGTCTGTTTTCAACTCTAAATAGTGAACTCCTGTAGGACAAGAATCGTATTGATCAAATGTGTTTGCTGCTAGTAAGTGCTCAATTAAAATCTCTTTGAAAGAATAAGAGAATCAAACATAGATCTTATGATGCTAGGCTGAGCAAATGAATACATACATGGTGGAGTCATTATCAAGATAGAAAAGGTCAGTAAGGAGCTCTCAGATGGCTGTGCTTGAGATGTTTGTCAGATGCTTAAGTGGAGAGTAAAAGTAAGCAATTGGATGTAGTTCTTGGAGGACTGCGGTAGAGACACAGACTTGGTTGCTGTTAGAATAAAGATGATTGTTAGCCATTGAGTTAAATAAAGTCATCTCAGCAGAGAATGCAGAAGATCAGAGGGTCTAGAAACAACCCATGTTGGAACTCAGGCTCAGTCAGGTGCAAGAGGGGAAGCCAAGAAAGGAAATGGAGAAAAAGTAACAAGTCAGGAGAAAGCATGAGGAATTTTAGAAGCCAGTAGAAAAGAGGTCCCTAAGATATATTGATCAATGTTGACAGATCATTGAGAGCTTAACCAGGTTTAGATGAACCTATTAGATCTGCCAATATACAGGTGATGGGTGATTAGGGCCAAAAGAACTTGGGAAGTGGTGGAGGCAGAAGTCAAAATGGAGGGGGGGCGGTGTTGAAGAGAAAATGAATTTTAAGAAAGTGGAGAGAGGGCAAACATAATTCTTTGAGAAGGTTAGCTATAAAAAACAGCAGAGAAATGTGGTGGTAGCTGGAAGAAGATGAGGGATCAGGGTAACGCAAGTATATGCAGTCTCATGATGTGGATTATGAAAGGAATGAGAACATGTTAGGATGGTGATGAGAAAGATCCTGAAGAGAGGGAAAGACTGATGAAGGTGAGACAGGAAAAACCAACGGAGAAAGTGCCTGACAAGATGACAAAGAATGAGAAAGGCCATCATGAACTTTGATGGGACTGGGGCTTTTCCCTCTCTACTTAGAGAAGAGAAAATAAGGAAATGAGTATAAATTCTGATTTTTTCTTGATACAGTGATGAGAATAAGAGGAAATTTCTTTCTAGTGGTGTTCCAGTTATCTATTGCCATGTAACAAACCACCCCATTACTTTGTGGCTTGAGAATGATTCTCCAAGAATTACTTTGTTATTCTTTTGTCCTGGCTTCTAAAATTCTTTATGTTTTTTCCTGACTTGGTATATTTTTTCCATTTCCTTTCTTGGCTTCCCTCTTGCAACTGAGTGAGCCTGAGTTCCACATGGGTTGTTTCTAGACCCTCTGATCTTCTGCAGTCTTTGCTCAGGCAATTTTATCTAACTCAATGGCTAAAAATCATCTTTATTCTATAATAACATCAACCAAACCTGTGTCTCTATTGCAATCATCCAGAGAACTATATCCAATTGTTTACTTTTGCTCTCCACGTAAGCATCTAGCAAACATCTCAAGCACAGCCATCTGGAAGCTCTTTACTGGTCTCATTACTCTAGGTTTGACTAGATTCAGCTGGATAGTTCTGCTCCATGGGGTGTAGCTGAGGTCTCTCATGCTATCATGTTTAGCTAGGGGCTTGGGTGGACAAGATCTTTCAAACCCTGGCATCTTTCTTCATGTGGCCTTTCAGGATTCAGTAATCTATCCCTACAACATGGCAGCTGGCTTCTAAGAAGAAGCATTCCCAAGAGGCCATACCTGACATGCAAGTCTTTATCACACCTCTGTTTGCTTCACACTTGCTTACTGGCCAAGCAAGTCATAAGGCCAAAGCTAGAGTCAATGTGAAAGAGACTATCCAAGGTCATGCATACAGAAGGTGAAGTTCATTTGGGGTCACTAAAGTAGCTATCACAGGTTTCTTCTATTTTCTTAAACAAAACAGTGTTATCTGTTAAAAGTTAGTTTGGAAAGAAATATAAAAAGTAAGACTGTCATGGGAATTTGAAAAATGTGACAATATTTTGGGGCAGCGCTGAGTGCTTGCAACGAGCTATATTCATATCTATAATAGATAATGGCATCAATCTTCTATTATTGCAATTTTGTGTAATATTCTTCAGCTGCTCTCCGTTGCATACAGGAAACAGACAGATTGGCGAGGTCATTTATAATTGTCTAACTCTATTTGGGAGAAAGAATGTGGACAGCAGAAAAGCAACACTGCATGTAATATCTACCCTTTTTTTGTAGACTGCCCTGCTCTCCTTTAAGAATAGATCAGCCCATCATAATAAATTTAGATGTTTATTATGTCTAGGCCAATAATGTACTAAGGCCTCAGAGGTTCAAAAGCTATCAGACACTGTCCTTGGCCTCAAACATTTTATTTTAAAGGTTGAGAAATTTATAAAGTAGGCCATTTATTATGTAGGCATTTATTGCTTTTTTACTTTTCATTAATTTTTCTTATAATTTTGCCTCATTTGCCCAATTTAATAGATTGTCCTAAATTCCCTCAGATTTTCAAATTTTCTTTACTCCCTATATTAGTCCATGTCCAGTCACAAACATAAAATCTATACACTATACTTGCTATTTAAACATAGGGAATTTCATATAAAGAATGAATTAAACATATACGGAAAGACTGAAAAGGCAAAAAGAGGACCCAGAGGGAATCCAGGAGTAGTAACTTCAGGAAGTGACTGCCATCCTGTGTGGGCTAAATGTTTTTGTACCTGCCCCCACCATTCAAATGTTGAAATCCTTACTCACAATGTGATGATATTAGGAGGTGGGGCCTTTAGGAGATGGAGTTCTCATAAATGGGAGTAGGGCCTTCTCTCTCCCTTTGCTCTCCACCATGTGAGGACACAAGGAGAAAACAGCAGCCTACAAAGGAAGAGAGCCTTTGTCAGAACTGACTACATTGGTACCCTAATCTTGGAATTCCAGCCTCGAGAATTGTGAGGAATAAATTTATGTTGTTTATAAGCCATCTAATCTATGGTACTTTGTTATAACAACCTGAACAGGCTGAGAAATACCCTCGGGAGCAAAGGAAGGAGATCATTAAACCCAAGAGCTTGGAGGAAGGGCCCTAACAGCCAGGTGTGTGGAGCTCTGAGGAGAGGTCACTGTCTGGCGGCTGCTGCCTGCACAACATAAGGAAGCTGGCTCTGGGATTGCTAGAAGATCCTGGAAACTGTAACCAAATGCCATCTCTCTGGTGAAAAGCAAGAAGCAAAACAGGAAGAAACAAGTCCTCCCCTCTTTCAACTATGCTGCCTTTCTCTAGCGCCTCCTACAGGAACAATCTAACAGGGAATACCTGGCAAAGCATAAATGTGGTTTCCAGAATTTCCAATCCCAGAATCACAAGGCTGAATGTGGAAGGGTGGGATTGAAGCTGGGAAGCAAAACCTTAATAACCAGCACAGTTTATACCATCTTTTTCATTTTCATGAACATAACCAATTTTTAAAGGTCCTAATATTAAAAAGTGTGCATACCTTCTATTGTTGGCTTATGATGAGGTGAAGAAGCGGATCAACTTTGATCAGGATTAAAAGAGAAATGATAAAAGAAATGTTTCCAAAAAATAAAAAAAAATGGATATTTCACTGACCCATAATAATCTGATCCCTTATTTCGATTACTAATGCTTTTATCTGCCAGATTGTTCACTTTTCAGTGCAGTAAAAATAAGATAAACAAAATACATTCTAAAGTAACCCATGTCCAAGTTTTTTTTCTTATTTCTTCCTATGACCTTAATACAAACTATTTTCATTATAGAAAAATTCCTCAATCCAAAAACATCTATAAAAGTGTTATCAGATAACATTTTTCTTATATTACATATAGAGAGAATAAAACAGGGGTTACCAGGATTGAGGTGGAGTAGGAAAAAATGATATAGGTCAAAGAATACAAACTAGCAGATATGAAGGATGAACAACGTGAAGGACTGAATGTACAGCATGAGGATTACAGATAATAATGTGCATTGTATTCAAAATTTTGGCTAAATGAGTAGATTACAGCTGCTCTTGCCATGGGAAAAGGGCATGAGCAACTGTGTGAGATGATAGACACGTTAACTTGTTCCACTATAATAACCACTTTACTACATATGTTGTATACCCTAAATATACACAATAACATTTATTTTTGAAAAAGAAAAGAAAATATGTTGATACCAGCTAATGCACAGATCATGGGAATTTTGAGCAGCATTTGTGAAATAATCACAGCTTTCTAAATGCAACATCATAGCAGCATACAGAAACTGGAAACATTTTCCAGTTTTCCTTCACAATTTTTCATCTTTATTTATTTTCAATACAAAATATGCTAATACTTTTGGAATGATTTTTCGAAGATAATTTGTAGACCAAAATAGTCATTTTCAAGCTTGTTCCAGAAGGATTAATGTTTTGACCAACTATTTGGAAGGAGATGTGAGCAGCTGAAATAAATATAGTCTGAGGTAGGAAGGGAGAAAACAGGCATTTTGTTTCTTATGTTTTAAAAATATATTTTGTGCACCTGGGTTAAGTTTTTATTTTATTTCCTTTTCCTTCCCTTTTTCAAATTACATGTAGGTAATGTCAAACTTGAGCTAATCAGAAGAACCCTCTTTTCCCTTTCCTAGGACTGGTCTTTTTAGATTTGACATCACAACCAGAGATCCTATACTTTTAAAATCTCTTAGTAATAGTTTTAGGTTAATAGTAACATACTTGATTTTTAGGGGTCACCAGAACCTCCAGAGTTATGATCTATCCCCAGTTATTAATGGTAAATGTGTAACCAACAGATCTGGTCTGTGTGCCCACGAATGTCAGATAGGCTTTCCAGAAGGACCCCTGCATTGCAAACCCGTCTAAGTCTGATTAACTCTTCTCTTCCTCCATCTAAAAAACAACAGCCTGGCTCATTTTGAGCCAAGATGAGGACAATAAGAGTCCTAGTGTTTCCAGAATCACCTTGGGAGATGGTGAGGAATATAAGTGGAAAGTGCTGGTTGAGGGAGCCCCTCCGGCCCCCCATTCAACTCAACTTATGCAGTGATCTAAGCAGTGGTTAAAGTTGCTCCTCTAACCTCCACAAATCAGGATACCACACCCAACAGTCTTGCTCTGCTCTGTTGTTTCTATAGAAGTCATTATCTTCTAACTTATTTATTTATTATGATTGTTTATTTTCTGAATCCTAGTAGGTTATAACTCTATGAGGGCAGGAGTCTTTTCACTGATGAAACCTCATCAGCTAGAACACCTAAATATCCAGTTACATGTGTTCACAGGAATGTATTTAGAATGTCACCCTGTTAGAAAGCCAGCATTGTTTCTTTAAGTGAACATCCTCTTCTGAGAAGCATTCTCTTAAGTGAACATAAACATTTTCTCATTCTGTGCATATACTTTAATAAGTATGTAATACATACAATTTCATTACATGTTGAACATATTACATTGGTTACTACTAGCTGCTGCAAGGTAAATTTTAGTGGCTTAACAAAATAGAAATTTCATAACTGCCCATGTGGTAGTCCAAATGTGGGTGTGTCTGATCTGCGGAGGCTTTACCCCGTATGGTAATTTTGGCATCCAGACTTCTTTGGTGTCATGGCTCTGCTGTTCATAGGGCTTCTCAGTCATCAGTGTCCATATGGTTGAAGGGAAAGAGATGGCTTTTTAATCTCCTGGCCATTTTAATCACTTCAAGTGACATACACCAGTCTTATCCCATTGGTCAGGGCTGTCATGTGGCTACCTGGGTGCAGTAGGTTGCGCAGTCTCTTCTCAGCAGCTACTTCCTAGGGACAGCTCTACACTATGGTAGAAGAAGAATGCATTTGGATGGCTTGTTAAATATCCCATTCTGCTACATTTCATGATCTAGCTTTCCGTGGCATGCACCCACATTGCTTGGCTCTATTAGTGAGGTTTACTTTAATAATAATGCATACCAACTAGAAAAATACAATGGCTGACTCATGTCAATGTCTTTGGCTGTGCTAAACTTCACACCATTGGTCAGGTTCGGATCTAATTCAAATGTCTCTTGTTCTGCCATGACTAAGCAGCAACAGCACTTGGGACATGCTTTTCTCATGAGCATGATTGAAAGAAGACAAGCCAAACCACACATATATAAATCCTTTCTCTTATACAAGGAATAGACTAGGTCTGCACTAATCTCACCAAACAAATCACATGGACAAACTCAACAAAAATGAAGCAGGAGAGACTATTTCTTCCATTGCTTGGGTGGTGTGATGGGGGAATGAATATCTAATGACAAATTATACTCCCCATACACACAACCCCAACACACACACTCAGACTTTGAGCAGTCAAACATAGAACTGGAGTTCACTATGACATTTCAAATGGCTTCACTTGGGAATGGAAGATGTGCTGAAGTGAGGGATGCTTTCCTCTCTTTAACTTATTCTCACTTCTTGAAAAGACTATTTGATACTTAAGCAAAAACTCAGCTTTTCTTCTGTCCAATACTTCCTTTGTGGTCTACCATTTTCAGGCTACTTAGTATGCTCCAGGAATTAGTCATTCTCCTCTCTGCATTTTGGGTAGGATGGGGAATGTCACCTGGAATGTTTGCTTTCTCCATCTAATTAATAGCCACCCATTGAAGGTTTATAAAATCACACCAGTTCTACAAAGACTTCTTTACCTTCTGGGCATTGAATATCCCATTTTTTCTCTGTTCTGTCCATCCACCCATCCATCCTTTCCAAAATTATTTAATGCCTGCCTACTATGTGTTAAACATTCTTTTACTAAATGGGGATGTAACATGAATAACATATTCAAGAATATCTCCAATTTCAGGGACCTTATATTTTAGTGGCGAACATAGATATATGAGCCAAAACATAAATACAATTTTAAATAGTGCTAATGTTGTGAATGACTGGAAATGGGGAAGTACAACTATATGGGGGAAAGTAGCAGCATTAAATAGGTGTCAGGGAGGACCTTTCTCAATAATTGAGCTGAGAATAAAACAGCCATGCATTTATAATCAAATATATAATTCTAATCAGGGTCGCCATACTAAAGAACCTGTTAAGCTTCTCCCTTTCTCTTTTTTCTTCCTGGCATCCATTTATCATGTTTAAGTTGTCAGGTGAATACAAAAAGGGCTAAGTGGAATAGACTGGGCTGATTGCCAGGGTCTACAGTTTGCCCAGTTATTTTAAAATTAGGTGGAATCACATTGTTTGAAGGGCCTTTGTTTTTCTAACAAGGCCACAATTGAGCAAATAAAGTTGAATAATGTTGCCTAATGCATTATAGTACTAATTTAAAAGATCCAGGGATAAATGGATAAGGATCCTCAGAAATATTTCTTCCTTACTGTGGTTTCCCTGCCCTGCCTTGGTATTGTTTTGGGTACTGTTTTTATTTTTTATTTTAAAATATTAAGAGGGTATAAATGTTTTTGTTACATGGAGACGTTGTATAATGCTAAGTCAGGGCTTCTGGTGTGTCTGTCACCAGAATAGGGTTCACTGTACCCAATAGGGATGAGTACTAAAGGTTTCAGTCCCATGGTGTGACTCTCAAGGGCATAATCTGACTGTGGAGGGAGGCCTGGCTTCTCCAACCAACATTCAGGGTATTTTGGATTATGGTTAAGAACTAGCAATGTAGGTAACAAAGTGAGCACTTGAGATTTCTATCCTTGGCTTCATATTAGTTTCATTTTGTTGCTGTGTAATTTTGTATATCACAAACTTAGTGGCTTAAAACAACACATTTTTTTGCCTGGTAATTCTGTCTAACAGAGCTGAAATCAAGGTGTCAGCAAGCCAGTATACCTTGCAGGAGACTATGGGGAGAATCCCTTTCTTTAA